GTAGGTGACCCTGCTTTGGCAGGGGGGGTGGACTAGATGACCCACAGAGGTCCCTTCCAACCCCTACCATTCTGTGATTCTGTGATTCTGTGGATGCGGCCATTTAGCTCCAGCCTCTTCTGTCCCTTGCTGCCTTGTCGTACTGCTGTCACATGCCGAGCCTGGCGGAGGGAAAACTGCCTGGGCTTTCCGCTGCGTATTCACGCTGTCCAGATCGCAGAGAAGGCTCGACCTGCTCCAGAGAGCTCCTGTCCCCAGCTGAAACACGCAGTAGGTGAAAGGCACCAAGCAGGCAGCGTGACCTTTGGAGGCAGGTTGTTTTTGTGGATTGTCCGTCTGAGCCCTCTTTGCGTGTGAAGAGAGGGATTTGGAAGAGCTGAGAAGTGCTCAGTGGGGAGGAACGGGTTCATCTGTTCTGGGGGTGGCACAGAAGGAACGGTGAAGGCTTTCGCTGAGCACTGAACAGTTGGTGGTGACTGGAACAACTAACATGAGAGACCAGGGGGTGAGAACTCAGCCCTCGGTATCGAACCAACAGCTGAGAGAACCTTCTGGTAAGACAGTTCTTCCAGCTCAGCTGGATCTGATGAGTGTCATCCTAAGGGGCAGATAAAAGAACTGCCTGAAGCAATCCCAACATCAGAGCAGTTTTCGTCAGCAGCTTCTGGAAGCCAGGGGTGATACTGAGAGAGGAGAAAAGAACAAATGTTGCTCTTGCATGTAAGAGGAGGAAAAACCAACGAGTTCAGAAGTGAAGTTCACTCTGTTTATGCTCAATACCGGAGAAGTTCGGGACGGGATGAGGGTGCTTCCTGCCTTTCCCCTTACTCGTCGGCTGTGTTGTCTCCAGCGTTCCTACCCCAGCTGGCTGGGAGCTTCCGAGCAGAGCGGGATCCTGCGCTTTGCTTCCTCTTCAGCTGTAGGGGTGTTAATTCAGATGCCTTAACGTAAGTGCCTAGAGCCATTTTAGATGTTCTTCAGATATCAAAGCTGGCTTCAAGATGCCGCTCCAAATGGAAGTCTTCTGCATGTCCTGTCCCCGATCTGCATGTCCCTTGAGGACATTTTGCTGTGTGGTGTTCAGATCAGTACTAGATTCCTGTGATTACACGCCTGCCAGGAGCTGGCATCTCAGCTCGTTACTCTGGGCTCCCTTTACAGCAAATGGAAATCCAGGTGGTGCCATCAAGAGCCGGTGACCAAACACCGGTGTCTGCTTCAAGACGAGGTGAACCTTGTGCCCACCTCCATGCACTCCGTTGCCTCGGTCACTGTGAACTGTGAAGGGACACCAGTTTAGACGTCGACACCTCTAGCACGGGCATCCACGTCGAGTGAAGTCACCTCCGTCTTCGCCGCGGCGCTGCTCTCGTGGTTCTCACAGAATGTGAACGCGTCCAGGTCTGACAGCGTTACAGAGGATGCTCTGCTGAACGGATGATTCGGCCGAAGTTAGGAGGAGTTCCACCATTCTGTGTTGCCTCATAAACTCTAATCTTCAATCAGCGTTCATCGGGGACTTGTTAGCCCAAGGCTGATCCGATAAATATTTGAAGGAATTGTTTTGTAAATCCTGTGGTCTTTGTAATAATTAGGTGTGTGTCAAAATACGATGTGGTGGAGTCTGCAGCTGGAGTTTACTGGCAAGAACCTCACAGCAGACGGCAAGACATTTCTGTCCTGACTTTTAATTGTCCTTAAATTGAATTAGAATTTGACTGAGAAGAAATTTTGACTAGCTGGATAATATTGCTTGGCTCCTCAGAGGACATCTCCCGGAGCAGCCCACCACATCAAGTGCTTTAAAAAACGTCAGGCTTTGCTGCAGGAAACAGGAGAAGAGGTGAAGGCGTGGGACGTGGCAGTGGTGAGGGAGAGAGGAACCTGATGAGGTTCAACAAAGCCAAATGCAGGGTCCTGCACCTGGGGAGGAACAACCTCATGCACCAGTACAGGCTTGGGGTGGACCTGCTGGAGAGCAGCTCTGCGGAGAGGGACCTGGGTGTCCTGGTGGACGACAGGTTAAC